AGGGAGGGGAGGAGAGGGAGGGGAGAGGGAGGGGAGAGGGAGGGGAGAGGGAGGGGAGAGGGAGGGGAGAGAGAGAGGGGAGAGAGAGGGGAGAGAGAGGGGAGAGAGAGGGGAGAGAGGGGAGCAAGGAGCGAGGAGCGAAGAGCGAAGAGCGAAGAGCGAAGAGCGAAGAGCGAAGAGAGAAGAGAGAAGAGAGAAGAGAGAAGAGAGAAGAGAGAAGAGAGGTTAAGTCTTCAAAGTGTAGAGCCTGGGCTACAAGCTGAGACTGTTTGCCCCTATGATGCTGGAGACTGTGCAGTGTGGCTGTAGGTCACTGCTGATTTTAGATACTCCCCTAACTCATCTCTGACCTGTCCTTAATGTATCTGAGAGTCAACAGCATCAGGGTTGATTGGTTGTCTTCCAGGGGCTTAGTTACTGAATGGATCACAACAGTTCCTCCTGAGGACCTCCCTCATTTATTCTCCTTCCAAGGCCACTGACTGGATTCCTCCCTCCCCCAGCAAAAACCAAAGCCTAAAAATCCCACTGGTGATGGCATGCAAAATCCTTGTATTCCCTGATAAGGATATGGACCTGGGTGTACCCTACACTATCTAGAGAACAGGAGTAGTCTGATGGGGTGGGGAGTAGGTGCACCTCCCCTCCTCCACACTGTCCCTTGCTTGCTTACATGGGCACTGTGACTATTACAAAGAACAGCCAGGGAGCCTCACCTTGCAGGCTGATGACAGGAAGCCCCCTCACAACACTGAAAATGCAGGACTCTAAGTGGCCACACAAGGAAGCTCAGGACCCACCAACCCACAGGAAATCTGGAGCAAAGTCTATGGGCTCACCAGGGAAGTAATGGCACAACCCAGCACATTCTCAGGAAATGGTGAAGGTAACGTTACCACAGTCTCTGCTCTGGGCTTTGGCAATTTTCCTTTTGTGGCACCAGACACCAGCACTGAATGATGACCCCCTACTTCCAGAGAAATCAAGCTCTGAACACCTGGGTTATGAGACCTGAGGGAGGTGTGAGAGGTAAAATGGGTCCCATTCACTTCACATGCTCCCATGAAGAACAGTGCTTACACTGTGGAAGAGGAGAACCAGACAGCAGCGAGGGCAATTTAAGCCACAGAGCAGAGGGCTGAGACTAACTAGTAAAGGTGGATGACTTCCTGTTGTAAACTTTTCCCAGTTGCAGAATCCTCCACCAGTCCCCAGAGAAGCCAAAGGCTCCCTGTGTAAGGTACCTGTGTCTCGATGCCACAGGGAACTGAGCGAACAGGGAAGAGTGGAGAGTCCCAGGGGAGTTTGGAGGGAGAGCAAGTGAGATCCCATGGCCACCCTTGTCTTAGGGAAAATAAAAGCAAAGGCTTGTGATGACCAGTGCTCACCCAGCATTTACAGGGCGCCCAGTGCCAAGATGGAGTTGCTTCTGCCTTTGCTCATTCACAAAAGAACAGATTGGCTCCAGGGTACTGGACCACGGTTCTGGGACCCCAGAGCTCTGGGCAGGGGTCAAAATACGACATCACAAGCATTCCCAGTCTCTCCAGTAATCCTGTCTGTGTTTCCTAGTTATCTACTTCCAGGTATATAGCAACATCTTTTAAAGATAACATTTTTATTTATTAGGAATGTCATACATGTATGGCAGGTAACTTAATCATATCTGCCTCCAATTCCTGGTGCATCCCCCACACCTCCCTCCCTCTATATTTTAATATTTGCTTAACTTTTAAATTTATGTGTATGTGCTTATGTATATATGTCACATGTGTGCAGCGTACTCCTCGAAGAAGCCAGAAGAGGATGTCAGATTCCCTGGGGATGTATGTGTGCCCTGGGGTTGCTAGAGGAGCAGCGAAAGCATTCTTAATGGCTGTTTTAATTATTTATGATTCTTAACCCACTGATTTCAGTTAGTGCATCTCATTTGCAGGAGACCGTGCTGTTATACACTGGAGCATGGGCAACCTACCAGTCTTCCCCTTCCCTGCCCCCTGCAGCCATCAACTGCCAATAGCTCCTCAGCTAGGGGTGGGGCCTCAGAAGACCCGCCCCAATCCACATGGAAATCCTTAACTGGTTTGATCCACTGCCAGTCTTCCCAGTTCTGTACTAACTGATATGCTGCCTGAGATTGCAGATTCCAAAACCCACTGCCTCTTTTGTATGCACCATATACATTCCTGAAAAGAGTTATAACATGACGTCAGCAACCGTGGAGGCGGTGACCTCATGGGCTTTTACGTCCCCTGCTTGTCAATCACCGAACCGCTCTTGCTCACTCACGCTCTAGCAGGTCCTTTTTGGTCTCTCCTGGTACAAGACTGGAAGAAGCATCTAGCTATTCTTAAAAATTACCGGACTCTGCCTCTGCTGGTCCTTTCAGCGTCTGTACCGTCCCTACTCCCACCACGTTTCCACTGCAGATGTTCCAGGCACGATGGATGCTACTTAAAAGCCAGCTGCAATCCTGGAGCTGACTGTACTTTGTACTCTAGAGCACAAAGAGAGCCCTGCCTAGCGCTTGGACAATATATCTATATATCTATATATCTATATATCTATATATCTATATATCTATATATCTATATATCTATATAGCATCTATATCTATAGCATCTATATCTATAGCATCTCTCTCTCTCTCTCTCTCTCTCTCTCTCTCTCTCTCCATATATATATATCTCAAAACATCCTAGAGGCTTTTTACAACAACAGCATTTAGACACGGAGGTTTCTATATCTCATTCTGGAGAGATCTGAGCATCCCAGAGGCCCACCCTCTGGCCTCATGTCCACATTGCTTGCCAACAGGAAGTGATAAGGTTTATGATACCAAGTTATGAGCAAGGCGGGGGCTCCAGGAAGCCCAGTGGGGTCAGGAACAACCTGAGATATTGGTCACTGGTCCAGTAGAAATAGGGCCCCCATTACCACTGTGTCCACCCTGGCAGCTAGCTGCCCTGTCCCACACAGCTTCAGTTTACACTACATCCTTTCTGGGAGGTGGTCTGATGACAGTGTCCCAGAGTCCCTCAGCAGCTCTTCTTCCCACCCATGGCTTATAGCCTGGTGTGGGCCTCCATGTCACAAGTGTGGGGTCCCTGTTGCAGGGAGGTGGGTGGTGCTATGGCTTCCATGTTTCCCACCTAGTTCACTCCAGTCCCCTCCTGTTGTGGCTGCTGCCTCAGGTGCTATCAGAGGCAGAGGCTGTGTATGCTGTCTTCCCACTTCTGAAAGGACAGCAGTGTAGGGACCCAGCCCTACAGTAGGGATGAGCCAGTCTCTGGGGTGATGATGGGGGGGCAGGCTACAGTGTTCAGATTCTATAAGATCCCAGATGAACCCGGGAGCCAGAGAAATGATTTCAGTTTTCCTTTTGCCTGTCAGAGGCCTTGAGAACAGCTCTTATAAACCTGACCATGGTGGGGAGGCTAGCCCCATCTGAACCAGAATCCCATCCCAACAACCAATATTGTTCTCTTAAACACAATGCATACCTAGCATGACATCTACCAGGCCAGCCCTTTTAAAGCCTGAGCACCCAGGGAGTCATGTGATAACACCACTAGGAAAGGAACATGCTGGATACACATGCATACTACACATATATATTCTACATGCACATAACACAGACACATATACACACATACCACACAAACATATATATGAAATACACATGGGCATGTACATGCATGTCACGCATATCATATACATATATCCATACATACATACACAGACATGACTGTATATGCACATACACATAGGTGTGTGTGTGCATACCCGCTCACTTCACACATACACAGTACATAGCACATGTGCACACATGCACAAACAGACATGCATATCACTCAGACATACAGTTCCCCACACAAGTCTGGAAGAAAATTCATCGGAGATAGAGGTATGAAGAGTGGCAGGGATCAGCTGAGCAGGAAGAGGCAGACATAGCCGACCCCTGCACATGTCCCTGGCAGTTTTCCCATATGGCTCCAGTCACATCTGGATCCTCCATCTCCAGTCTGGGCCTTGGAAGCCCTTCCCTAGAGGATCCTCTCATCTCTGCTGGGTCTTGGAGCCACCATGTCTCTGGAGGCCCAGGTAGTGTATGAGATCCTAGATCCAAAGCTGTAGGCCTGTGCATCTCTGCCTACTCTCCACTAGCCTGACCCCATGTCCTCAGCCATGGATGTTCCCACCACTCTCCACGGGTCTGCCTGAAGGTTTTATGATGCCTCTACTTGATGGGCATCAGTACACGGGGCCTGGACTGAGTAGTCTTCAAATGGTTTTCTTTCAGATGCCATGGACTAGGGTTATGAAGAGGCCATAGGATCCACTCCATGAGTGGGGTCAGATAGACCCTTTCTTCTGCTGCTTGGGAAAGACTAACACTGAGGTGTCCTCTGTATGAGTCACAGGGACACAGGGCCCCCACTCACCACTTAGCTCCCTGGAGACCTTGGCTCAGCGAGGTTGGGGGTCCTTCAGCTCCGTTTGCTATCTGGACGCCTTTGGCAGACACACCTTATTAGCTTGGTGCTTCCTCTTCTGTCAGCTCCTGGGAGGCAGTGGAGTGGCCTGTGGCTGGCCGTCCCACTCATGGAGCCTTAGTTACCTCAGCCCTCTGCAGCACAATTGTTCTCAGCAGCTACAAGGTAGGAGCAGGACCTGACAGTGATGAAGCACTTTCATCGAGGGAAGTGGACCAGTGGTTGGAAGGGCCTCTGCTTGGGACAGCATTCTCTGGTGACAGGGAAGAATTCCCCAACATGTCAAGGATGAGTAAGGATCCAGAGCTCAGTGAGTAGGGACTGGTTCTGGAAGACCCATGCACCAGATGGGGAAGGTCTGGATTAGGTCTGAGCACCAGGCAGTGAGCAGTAACTCATGAAGAGACCACAGCTCAGCTGGTTCCTTCCTCTCTTCCCACCTCCACCTCCAGTCTGAGAGAAGACTGCAGTTTCTTTGGCCTTCAATGTGGATGAAAGATCAGCAACTCCCCAGGAATCCGGCAGGCCTTCAGGCCCAACTGGAACTGCTGAGCAGCTAGCCTCAAGGACTGAGCAGCTACCAGCGTGTAGACAGCCATTAAGCCTTACTATGTGAATCCGGCTAATGAATTCCCTTTTATGGCATAGATTCATCTCATTGGTTCTTTTTCTCCTGAAAGCTGTGGCTGACACAACACAGACTGTACGATGCCCTGGACTACTCTTTCAAACATCATTGCATTTTTTTGCTACTGAAGTGTTAGTCCCAAAGAGTCAATAAACACAGTATTTAAGAGGTTCCCTAGAATTAAAACCGATGATCAGACCCAAAGGAGTCCATTTCTTTGTAGTTATAAAAATGCTCACAGTTTGTATTTTATAAAAATAAAATACAGGATTTATGTGTTTTCTGTCTGTGTCCAGGTTTATAAATGACTCAGCTTGAGTCCTTGGAGCTTTGATTCCTATAAATACCATAAACAGTAACTTTATTATGTTCTTTCCAAACTTTTAATTTCTTTTCCCTGCTTCATGAAATGATGGGCCAAGGTCCAAATCCTGAAAAAATTCTGGAGGTTTTATGCTAACACACTGCATTATTGTTGTCGAGCAAGTATTCTCTTTCATAGAGAATTTAAATTCTAAAATAAGGACATGAAAATTAAACCTTAAAAGGAAGCTGTCTTCCTTTAAATCTGCCTGCTACCTTTCGGCCCTATCATCCATATCTATCTATCTATCTATCTATCTATCTATCTATCTATCTATCTATCTATCATCTATATCAATTAATCAATCAATCATTCACATATCTATCATCTATCAATCACCAATCATCATCTATCTATCTATCTATCTATCTATCATCTATCTATCATCTATCAATCAATCCAATCAATCACATATCTATCATCTATTTATCAATCTATCTCCTATCAATCAATCACCTATAAATCAATCAATCATTCACCTGTCTATCATCATCTATCTATTAATCTATCATCTATCAATCACTCACCTATCAATCATCTATCAATCTATCTATCTGTATCTATCTTCTACCAATCAATCAATCACCTATCAATCACCTATCTATCATCTATCAATCAATTATCTATCTATCTATCTATCTATCTATCTATCTATCTATCTTCTACCTGTCCATGTATCTACCTGCCTGTCTACCTACCTATCAATCATCTATCCTTTCTTTGCTAATGCTCTTTGGACTTGTGTAGATATGGTAGCTGAGCCTGCTTATAAGCCTTTCTGTTAATAAGGATATCACAGGTAGCAGAATAATTAGTGATTCATCGCAATTCCCTCTTCCTATGGCCACAGTGTTGACTTCTGTTAGTCAGCTGTGCTGTTTAGTTTTTGGTCAACTTGACACATGGTGTAGTGGTGGGGAAGAGGGAACCTCAATTGAGAAAATGCCTCCATTAGATTGCCTGTAGGCAAGTCTGTGGAAGCATTTTCTTGATAAATGATTGCCATGTCTGGGCCCATCCCACTATAAGAGGGTGGTACCACTCTTAGGTAGGTGGTCATGAGTGGTATAAGACAGTAGGCTGAACAAGCCATTGGCAGTGGCCTCCATGACCACTGTCTCCATTCTTGCTTTCAGATTCCTGTCTTCAATTCTTGCCCTGACTTTACTTAACAATGGAACGTTACTTAAGAGTTGTAAGTTGAAACAAACCCTTTCCTTCCAAAGCTGCCTTTGGTCACAGTGTCTTATCATATAAATAGAGAATAAACTAGAATAAAAATTGATACCAGTGAGTGGACTATTCTGTGACACACCTGACCGTATTGTTTTGCAGAAAATTCTGGAACTATTTGGGACTCTTGGCTGTAAAATCCATTAGTGCTCAAAGTTCAAGGGGTTATTCTGTTAGCACTTGGAAGGTAATGTTGAAAATACTACAGACAGTAGAGGCCTGGTTTGAGAAGATTCTGAGGGAAGTTTGAGAGTCTCTGGAAGACTTTCTCAGGGCCATTCATTTTATATTTCAAATTGAGTGTTGTTTCTTGTCAGATGGTTGGAGAGTCAGCTGGGATTAATAAGGGACCAGCATGTCTAAAGTTAAACCTTTGCTTTAGTGAGACAACCAATGCTGGTCAGCCGGAGCTCAGAAATTAGCATTGACTAAGAAGAGAGCAGCATTATTGTGGTAAAATCTTCTAGGGGTTATTTTCTCAGGGTTAGACAGAAAATCTGTAATCCACAGAGGCCATGGCTGTATCTAGAGCTGGCAGCAAGATTTGGTCGTGTGTAAGAGTCTCCCAGGTGGTACTTGTTTTGAAGGCATGAAAGGGTTATGAAAGGCAGCTGAAGCTTGACACTGTGTGGTAGGGTTAGTCTCCCTGGGTGTTGCTCAGAAGTAAAGTCATTCCTATACGCTACACCTGGGAGGAGCACAAAAACACTTCCAAGAGCAATTCAGAGGTTTGAAGAAGCTGAGGTCAAGCACTCAGAATCCTCCTCACATGAATCCACTCCTGGACAGTGTTCTGACACCCTCGGACAGGCCAGGAGAGGACACTGGTAAAGCGGAGAAGGCTCAGTTGCAGTCATGACCACCAAGGACAGCAGCTGTGGGGTAGAGCCTGCAAGATGAAATATGTTTGCTGTGAATGGCAGAACCAGAGAGATGGGATTGTCCAAAACCCTTTGCACTCAGAGGATTTTGAGTAAGTACCAGATATCAAATACTAAGCTATTTGTAACATTGGGCTTTGGTTTTGTTTCAGTCTAATTATAACTGTGTTCTGATTCTTCCCTATTGGAGTAAGAAATATATAACTTATTTTTAATTTTACTAGAACTCACAGTTGAGAAGTTTTGGACTTTTTAAAGAGATACTGGGTATTTTAAGGTTATTAAACTTTTAAAGTGTTTGAATTTGTTTAAAGTATGGAGTTTTCAAATGTACTATGTTTTATATTGTGACATTAACGTGAGCGATGTCTTGTGGATAAACGAGAAATAAGAAGTTATGGTTTAATAGTGATGTATTTGTGTTTTAAGTTGACACGGGGTTAAATGTGATGGTTAGGGTTTTTGTTTTGTTTTTGTTTTGTTCTGTTCTGTTTGTTCTTTCTACTTAACACAAGCTAGAGCTTTCTGGGAAGAAAAAACCTCAGTTGGAAAATTGATTCCACCCGATAGCCTGTGAGTATTTTCTTGATGAATGACTGATGGGGAAGACCCACTGTGCGCAGGGCCACCCCTAGCCAGGTGGTACTAGGTTACATAAAAAGCAAGCTGCTAGACCATGGAGAGCAAGCCAGTAAGCAGCATTCCTTGGTGGCCACAGCTTCAGCTCCCTTTTCAGGTTTCTGCCTTGACTTCCCTCAGTGATGGACGATTATTTGAAATATGAAGATGAAATACCCTCTCCCTCCATTGCTTTGGGTCAGTGTATCATAGCAATAGAAAGCAAATTAAATGTCAGCTTTGTGTTGCTAGGATAAAATATTGGGGAAAACAACTTAAACGAGAAAAAGTTTATTTTTGTCTTATGTTTTCAGAGGTTTCACTTTACGTTGCCTGATTATGTTTGGGTCAGTGGTGGGCAGAACCCCGTGAAAGGGTAAGGTGGAGGAAATCCGCTTACCTTCTGGGGTGCTGCTAAGGAGGAGGGAGAAAGGGAGAGATGGAAGGAGAGGGAGAGAGGGGGAGGGAGGGAAGGAGAGGAGAAGGAGGAAGGAGAGAGAAGGGAGAGGGAGGGGGAGAGAGAGAGAAGGGGAAGAAAGAGGGAGAGGGGGAGTGAGGGAAGGAAAAAAAGGAGACAAGGGAGGGAGGAGGGGCAAAGAGAGGGAGGAAGGGAGGAAGAGAAAGGAAAAGGGGGAGGTGAGAGAAAGGAGGAGAGAGAAGAGGGAGGGAAGGAAGGAGGGAGAGAAAGACAGAGAGAGAGAAAGAGAGAGAGAGAGGGGGAAGGGAGGGAGGGAGGGAGGGAG